CGAGAGAGAGAGAGAGAAAGAGAGCGAGAGAGTAGTATATAAAGAGATATTTTAAAATTAAAATAATGATTTTTTTGAGAAGGTTAAGTATTACAGTAAATTTACTGATTTTAATAGCAATTATTACGAATATTAAGACCATAACAGTTCAACCACGGAACATACTTTGTTAGTAGCAACTATAGAGATGTGAATATACCGCAAATGCTAATTAATGCCTATAAGGTAAATGTAAGAATCAAAATGTAAGTGCCAAAAATCTTACAATGCTTGCATTGGAGCGTGATTGCATCCATTGGAAATTTAAAAACTGTTGGAAATAAATACTTTTCTTAGTAGGAGAATATTGTAGGAGTAGTTTTGGAAGGAATGGCGGTTGGAAATAATGATGATCTAGACGCTGTTGAAATCGTAAAATTGGTTTTGCTATCTCTACCGCCTTGTTTTGTTGCTCACATTTTATTATATTTATGTTTAAAAATAATAAATATAATAATAATTATTATTATATTATTTTATTATTATTATTTAGGGTTTCGTAGTAACGGCAACAGCATCAACTACAACATCAACAGCAACAGCATCAACAGCAAAAAATACAACAACTACAACAGCCATCATCGCCACAGCCAACATCACCACAGCAACCACAGCAGCAGCAGCAGCAGCTACCACAACGATAACAGCAACCGTAAAACGTACCACAAGACAGCCAACATTGGCGGGAAACAGAATTTCGATTGTGGATTTCCAGAAACTCCAGAGCCCCATTCTGAATTTTTGCTTCAGTGGAAGAAGAGTAGCAAAGTCGTTCCTATATACATACAGTTTAACGGATATGCACCTCATTTCGACGATGGTGTGTATATGTGTGTGTGTGTTGTCGTCTCTGTTGTTGTTTTGTTTGTTTTGTTTGTTTGTTGTTGTTTGTTGCTGTTATTGTTGGTGGCGTTAATGTTGTTGTTTGTTTGTTTAAGTTTGTTGCTGCTGTTGTTGCTGGCGTTGTTGTTGTTGTTGCTGTGTTTTAATGTGAAATATAAAGGTTTTGTGTGGCAGGTTTGAATTCACAAAGTCAAAAAAATCATTGCAGAAGTTTGTTGAGAATTGTTATCTATTTATTGTCATGGTCGTCATCACCATCATCATCACCATCGTCAGCATCATCCTCACCATCGTTAGCATCATCATCACCACTATCACCGCCATCATCATCATCATCATCATCAACAACTTTCCCTCGCAGCATACATGGATCGAATTCAAATGACTGACCCATTCATAATGGAGCTGAAGAACATCCGAACATCTGATCAAGGTGCTGATGATGATGATGATGCTGATGATGCTGCTGCTGCTGATGATGATGGTCATAATTGTAGCGGCGGTGCTGATGATGATGGTGAAGATGATGATGATTGTGATTACGAAAACTATGCTGGTTTTGAGACGACTATCACGATTATGAAGATGATGATGTTTTGGACTGTTTCGATGATGAGGAGAGCTAAGATGTAGAAGATAAGGAGAAGCTGTTGCTGCTACTACTGCTGCTACTGCTACTACTGCTGCTACTGCTGATGTTGTTGCGCTGACGACGATGACGATTTTATTGTTGTGTTGACGACGATGACGATGGCGTCATGAGCCACCGAAAAAATATTTACTTTATTAAGCAATAAAGTTCAAAATCCGCAAATTGTCTAAAAATTCAGTCACAAATCTAATCACAATCCTTTTAGTTGCTACCGCTATATTTTCTACAACAACAACAACTACTACTACTTCTACTACTACTATTACTACTACAACAACAACAACTACAATTACTACAACTACTACTACTACTTCTACTACTACTATTACTACTACAACAACAACTACTACTACTACTACTACTACTACTACTACAATTAGTTAGAACTATTTTTATTACAGCTAAAACAACTCCTTGTCATTTTTACTATTGTCCCTATTGTTATTATAATTATAATTATTATTAAAATTATAATTATTAAATTATAATTATAATTATGATTATTATTACATCCAGGTTTTTACGAATGTTGGATAACAATTGTGCAGGAGAACAAGACGGAAGTCCTTCACATCGGTCTCAACTACTACCTCACCGTAAACTGTTAGCAACTTTATTATTGTTGTTGTTTTTGATGTTGTTGATGTTGTTGTTGTCGTGTGTTGTTTTTGTTGTTTATTATTATTCATATTTTCGTTTTTCAACGTTTGAAATTTCCACAAAGCACCAACAATGGAAGCGTTTCAAATTAAAATTAGGAAGATAATTGAAATATAATAACAACAACAACAACAATAACATTATCAACAACACAACAACAACATTATCAACAATAACAACGACTACTACTATTACCGTCGCAACAATTCATCATGGCGGCTCACTTTTCCCGCCACACACCCAACTACTTCCGTTTCACGCAACCATGTGGTGAGAATCCACTTCCGGTTGTGATTGTGACGTCAT